TGGTTGGGGTGGAAGTGTCACTGCAGTGACTGAGGAACCAGAGAGGGGAGAGTACGTCAAGCTTGGAAGAGTCTATGAGTTTCAAATGGGGTTTGTGAAGGGGAGTCAAGAGAGGGCTGAGAGCTGAAGGGAGATATTAGGGGAGGCTTATTAGTTAGCTTTTTGGGTGAAGAGACCAGCATTTTGAGTTATCAGCCTGTCATTCCATGGAGAGACTCTCTAGGAAATGGGATAAGCCTACTCTCTCCTCAGGCTGATTTTTGACTCTCCAGGCCTCGTTTGTATGACAGCCTACTTTACCATATAGTTGAGAGTAAGGCAGAAATGTACAGGGAGGCACCCTGTTGATAATCACTATTACTTGGAGGCACCATTACTTGGAGGCATTTTTTTTTTTTTTTTAAGAAAGAAAGAGAAAGAGAAAGGGGGAGAGAGAACAGGAGTCTTGCTCTATTGCCCAGGCTGCAATGCAATCCAAAAATAGGTATCGAAAACCTGCTTTATGCCGATAATTGTGCTTAACATTAAAGACGGGAAGGAATAAGGGAAGAAAATAACAACCAACCAACCAACCAATATTTCATTTAAGTCTGTGAAATGCTATGCAAATGCTGAAGAGTTATTTACTTCCAATTATGTGATACTTGGAGGCATCTTTAATTCAGCCATGTCCTGTCCAAAAGGAAAAGGCAAAGGACGTGGCTAAATTAAAGATGCCTGCAAGTTTTCAAGCTGGAGCATCAGGGAAAGAGGAGCATGGAAATCCTGGCAGGACAGGCTCTAGAGGAAAGACAAAAAGGCTGGTTCATGCAGGCTGATGCTGGGGTCATGGCAGGACATCAAAAGTGGAAACACTGAGCAGATATACAGAGACAGGCACAGGATGTGGGAGAGAAGCCTGGATGGGCTGTGCACAGTGGCTCATGCCTCTAATTCTAGCAGTTTGGGAGACTGAGGAAGGAGGATTGCTTAAGGCCAGGAGTTGGAGACCAGCCTGGCTAACATAGTGAGACTCCATCTGTTCAAAAAAAAAACTTAAAAAAAATAGCTGAGCGTGGTGATGCACAACTGTAGTCCCAGCTACTTGGGAGGCTGAGGTGGTAGGATTGTTTGAGCCTAGGAGTTTGAGGCTGCAGTGAGCTATGATCACTCCAGTCTGGATGACGGAGCATGACCATTTCTCAGAAAAAAAAAAAAAAAGGATGGATGAATGGATAAGGAGAGCTGGTATTGCTGCACTTGAGGTGAGCAGCAAGTCAACATGGGGTTGTGTCATCTTTTGCAAAGTCACTCAAGAACACCTAGAACCTCCATGCATTTAGCAATCCCCTTGTGCCAAGCCTTTTACCTACAGTATCTTCAAACCTCCTTGAACATTTGATATTTGTCCCCTCCAAATCTCATGTTGAAAGCTTATCCCTAGTGCTGGAGGTGGGACCTGGTGGGGTGATTGGATCGTGGGGGTAGACTCCTCATGAATGGCTTAACACTATCCCCTTGGTGATAAGGGAGTTCATATGAGATCTGGTTATTTCCAAGGGTGTGACACCACCTGACCTCTTGCTTCCCCTCATCATGTGACATTTCTGCTTCCCACTGGCCTTCCACCATGATTGTAAACTTCCTGAGGCCCTCTCCAGAAGTAGATGCCAGCACCACACTGCTTGTACTGTCCGCAGAACTGTGACTCAATTAAACCTCTTTCCTTTATAACCTACTCAGGGTCAGGTATTTCTTTATAGCAATACAAAATGCAGCCTAACACACTTAAGATCATCGCCTTTCACAGTTGAGAACACTGAGACTCAGAGAGGTCTCCCAGCTAATAAATGATGCAGCCCAGAAGCAAATACAGTCACTCTGGCTCCAAAGCCTGCATTCTTTCCACTGCTTCATGCTGCTCTGAAGGATGGAGTCTTGAGGGAGAACTATGTTTAGGAGATGAAAGGCAAAAGCTCCTTGGACAGAAGAACCATCAGAGGGTGTGATGTTACGGAGGCCAAGAGAAGAAAGTTTCAAGACGGTGGAACCAGAAACAGTGCTAGATGCTGCCAAGAGAATAAGGACAATGAGAACTGGGAAGAGGCTGCTGGATGTGGGGAGCAGATGGTTATTAGCAGCTGTGAACCATTGAAAAAGGCTGTGCTGATGAAAATAAAGGTTTCTGCATAGATGCAAGACCTCCCCTTGTCATGTCCTGAGGATGGTACTCCTGTAGAGAAACTCCTACAGGGTCAACTCAGCCAGTGTCTGACAGTCACTGCATGTGGCCGGTTGGAGAGTAAAAGTCACAGCCCTCAGGCTCAAGCAGCTAACAACTTAATTGGGGACACCAGCTCTCAAATATGAAGACAACCAGAGAACCCACATGGTAAAGGGAACGTGTGCACCAGCGTTCCTCCTTCTGCCTCAATTTCTGCCAACTTCTAGATGGGTGGGAACTGAGCTCCTGAGACCAAGCTGGGCCAGCCATCTGTGCATCATCTGTGCGTGACAGCGGCAGAGGCCATGGCGGCGTACTGATCTCTCAGAGAGCATGTGCAGCTGGAGAACTCTAAGTGGCGTCAGCAGTTAGGGGATAGGCAGGAAAAAAGTGAACCCCTAATGGACTCTGAGCAGAAATGCCCAGAGAGGAAGATAGAAAGCCAAGACTGTCAGAATGGAAGTGAGTAGTTGATAGCTGACTGAGCCCTACTTTGTTCTCTTCTCCTACTCAATTTTTTTTTTTTAAGAGATGGCGGCTTGCTCTGTAACCCAGGTTGGAGTGAGTGTCACTATCACGACTCACTATTGTCTTGAACTCCTGTGCTCAAGCGCTCCTCCCACCTCTGTTCCCAAGTAGCTGAAATTATAAGCATGAACCACTGCACCTGGCCTCCTTGTCCTCTCTTAACAACCCATCTCACTCCTCTCTCGCCTCAGTGGCTTGCCTTTTTTTTTTTTTTGAGATGGAGTCTTGTACTGTCATGCAGGCTGGAGTGCAGTGGCATGATCTCAGCTCACTGTAAACTCCACCTCCTGGGTACAAGCGATTCTCCTGCCTCAGCCTCCTGCATAGCTGGGACTACAGCCATCTGCCATCAAGCCTGGCTAATTTTTGTATTTTTAGTAGAGATGGGGTTTTGCCATGTTGGCCAGGCTGGTCTCAAACTCCTGACCTCAGGTAATACACCCAAATGGCTCACTTCTCCTTTTCCATTCCCTCCAGCCACAAATACAGCCCTACTTCCTCTTTTATGCTTCATTTTCTAAAATGCACAGGCCACCGAGTGTCATCCATCCAAGGAAACTAAATCACCAGCTTCTTCCTTCCCACTCTGCTTCTGCCTTCATCCTGCATCCTCTCACCTCCTGCTGCTCAGAAGACACACAGAATTTCTCTGCTAGACCAAACTCAGGCCTAGGGCTACCCCAGAAAAACACCTTTAGCTGCCACAGTGCCTGAATTGCCAGCATAGTCATCAATTCCTTTGGTTTTTGTCTTAAAATGTTAATATGCCTGGAAAAATAAGAAAATCTTGTTTCTAACATTCTAAATTGTGGAGAAGACCAACTACCTCTTTGCTGTGCCTTGGGAGCCTTGACCAGCTGGGGCTGGCATCAAGAGATGGTTTAGGGAACAGGGAGAGAGGGTGGAGGGACTGATGCAAATCTTAACCCATTATGCAATTTTGTCCTGGAGTGACCTCACCCCTTGGCTTGGCTTTGGGGAAAGGAGTAGTAATTCCTCTGTGGCTGAGGCTGCAGGTTTTCCAGCTGTGTCCCTGTGGCTTCCCTTAGCATTTACCTGCAGACGTTTTTCAAATACCACTGGGGACAGTAAGACGACCAGGAGACGCGATGCCGCACAGACACTAATGCAGGACAGTTCTGAGGAGTGTTCTCCTGGTCCCTCCGAGCACCCCAGCGATAACCCATTCAATTAGTTTACCTCTCAGAGCGCTTTCTGGGTCACCTCTGAAAAATACGACTCATGCCCAAATTGTTCCACATTTTGTTTCAAGGGGAATTCAAACTCCGAAACAGTATATAAGGGACCTTTCCCTTTGATTCCTACTACTCACGGAGGAGAAAATAAAGCCCACTGGCTCCTACAAAATCCACAGACCCAGATTACAGGAATATACATTGAAAGTTTAAATGCACATGCCCTTTGACCCGGAATTCTGCCCTTTGATGCAGAATTCTAGAAGTTTACCTTAAGAAAATTAACAGACCGGGTGGGCAAAAATGTCTAAAGATGCATATCATCACAGAGACGGGTAATATTAGGAAGCCACTTAATGTCCAGCAATACCAGTATCTTAAAAATCATGGTATATCCCGTGTTGTCATTGGAAATGACGATTTTTAGACAGCTTTGCATATCTGTGGTGCTTATATAAATACCCCTACATATTGCTATATGTGCACAGGAAGAATCTGGAAGGATGACAACAAAATGTTAACAATGGTTATGCCTGGGAAGAAGGATTGGGGGTTGTGGAGGATCACTTTCCTTTTCTTCTTTACACCTTTCTGAATTTACATATTTTTTCATATGTATCTTCGTGTGTGTGTGTGTGTGTGTGTGTGTGTGTGTATATATATATATATATATGACTTGTGATTTTAAAAACTCTTGAAACTTGAAACAAAATTTAAGGAGATATCAATGGCCTCAGCGCCAGAGAACTGAATTCTGTAATTCCATAGCTTAAACTCGTTCTCTCATCAGGAGCTATTAGTCTCACCACCAAGGGGAGGTTGGTACAGACCCACAGAAGGAAACTGTCCCACTTAGCCAGGCCAATACTTGGCAGTGGCTCTTCTAAGCAAGTCAGCAAACACATCTGCCAACTGGCAGCCATGGGAGAGCATGTCATATCACGTGTTCCGCATGTGTGGCCCCATCTGACTCTGAGGCAACACGCAGAGCTCTGGCTACATGCTTAGGGACGCGGGTTGGGATCAGCTGTGCCTACCCATCCCCTCCCCCTCTGCAGACCACCTCCCCTTACCGGCCTGCCTGGAGCCCCAGCTGGCGCTTGGAAGGTCCCTTTCCAATTTGCTCCACATTCAGAAGTTCCTTATTCCCACGGGAAGAATTGCCATGGCGATGTGCGATGTTCCTCCCACCGCGAAGCCTGCCCGGGATGCGAAATCCTCGCCTGTGCAGCCCTGCCTGGGCTTCCACGCTGAGCAGGGGGACTCTAGGGAGTTAACCTTGCCCTGTGGGATAAGGAGTTTTAGTCTGCATATTCCTTGGGCTTGAGGGGTGGGGGGAGTGGGAGGATTAATTATGGACTTAAGAGGGAAAGGGGAAAATTGGTAAGATTTTATTAAAAGCCACGGTCACTCTCACCTTTCAGCCCGCCCACCACGACCCCTCAGCCACATGCTATCTCCGGTTCGGGAGCGTTGGATGGGGATGCCAGAGACTCTGCTTTTCCTCAACAACTTCCACGGATCCTGGGACATTTCTTAAAACGTCTGGACCGAAGCTTTAACCTCATGTGCTCCATCAGGCTGGGACGGAAAAGACGGGAGGGGCGAAGAAGAGGCGGGGGGGAACTGGGAGCGCCGGGACGGAGCCCGGGCCCAGGACGGTCGGTGTCAATGACCCAGGGTTCCCGCGCCCCGGGCGCACCCCGCAGTAAGGCGTCGGGGAGTCGGGGACATTAGGGAGGCGACCACCCGGCCCCCAGCGGGGGATGAAGTGCAAGGCTGGCCACTCCCGGCAGGAGGCTGCGCGCAGAGACCAGCTGTGGGTAGCGGGGGATGGGGCAGGCGGCCACGTGCAACCGTGGGCAGGTGGGAGCCTCCCAGGCGCCAGCTCGGGGAGGGCCACGCCCCTTCCCGATTCCCCGCGCTAGGCCACGGGACTGCAAAGGGGGGCACGTCCCTTCCAGAGTTCTCGGCGCTAGGCCACGCCCTATTGCCCGGGCCCCGCCCACTCCTTATGCCCATTGGGGGCTCCTTGCATGTCTCCGTCCCGCCGCCGCAATGGACTCCCAGACCTCAGCATCAACCCTGTCTCCTGTTACTCGCCTCAGGCTGGTTGCCCGGGGAAAAACTCCAAGCGTTTCACTGGCTAGCCGGTAAACCGTTTCATCTTTGCTCCATCAGCAGCAGCTCTTTGATTGAATCCCCTGGCTTTAGAGCCTCCCACTTTGACGATGCTGCAAATCCCTGAAGCGTGCTGGCTCTGATCTGGGCCACGTGTACACCCAGGTGCGCCCCCTTAGCCTCACGCCCTGCTCCTGTTGCCTCCCCGTGCCTCTAGCCTTCGGGAATTGGGGTTGCAATGAATCTTTTCCAAGTCTTTTATTACTCCAGCCTCTCCGTGCACCCTCCCGCTCCAACACCTGACATTTTCCTTCATCTCCACCCTCCCTTCCCCAGGTCCACAGACAGACAGACACACACACACACACACACACACACACACACACGCCTCTTCCTTTCCCCTCCACTCTCAGCCAATGGCAACGTCAGTCCATCCAATAGTCAGGAGACCAGACGACTGTCCACAGACAGCTGCCCTCTCGCCCAGGAGAGTGGGGCTGCACCACGAAGCAGGCCTAGCAGGAAATCGTGCTTTGATAGTCCCAGGCATCGTATTTCGCAGTATTTCATAAGTGAGCCAAATGGAGAAGGGATTAGCTGTTTCGCCCATTAAGCCCCACATCTGTAGTTACATTCTGACTGGGATAAAATTACCCTGGTTATTAATCCTTCTGCTTCAGGGCATAAGCTGATCACCGCTGGGGTCAGGAAAAAATTCTACCCCAGCTCCTTCCAGCCTGCTACCCCATTCTCAGCTGCCCCATCTCCTGTGGTCTATTCTTGCACAGTTAGGTCTACTAGCCAGGTTCAACTGTGGCATCTCTGACCATCCTAGTCTGCCCCGAAAAGGACAGTCCATTGATCATGTAAGTATGTATTGAGAATCTACTGTGGGCAAGACTGGTCTTCGCTGTGAGCGATGTAAAGCCATTCTGGCATGACCCTTGCCTTTTTCGTGCCAAGAAAAGCTGAAGAATGTGGTCAGAAATTACATGTGGTTTCTGGGACTTCCTACCCTGAGGCACCCTAGGTGTATCAGATGGCCTCAGGGAGCACAGTTCGGGTATGGGCAGTATTTTCACGCCCACTGCCATTCCGTTAAGTGTACGTGGGCTCTTCGTGAACACCGGCTAGCTGTGTTTCTGTCTCTGATCAAGTTTAGACTCCAAATCTGCCAGTTCTGGGACTTTAAAGGAGTCTCTATTTCCCTGGGTAAGAACAAGAAAAGAGAGACTCCATTTCCCTTGGTAGAAACAAGAAGTAGGAACAAGCAGGTGGAGAGCCAGGCAGGGTTGCTCCTTCCAACCAATGGGTCTGGGGCTGCAGCACACGAAGTTGACATCCCAAGAAGCCATTTTCCTTGGTCACTTCAGACCTGACGTTGGGTGGACTGACCACATAATTCAGCATCCAAACTGGGGATCTCTCAATAACAGAAAGGGGTGCCATTGATAATTTCGTGGAACTTTCCGGAGCACCCAGGGTGTTTTCATTCTGCCTGAGAGGTCATCTCCCTTGGGCATCATAAGAGGTACCACTGAGACACAACAGCTTTTGTCACCATTTCCTGATTGCTTCCCAAGCTCTCTCTCCTCTTCCCTGTGCCAGTCATCTCACAGTCTCCTTGTGCAGTTAGATCTCCCCTACTTCAGCCCTTCCTCCCACAAGTTCCTTTGCCCCCACTGCCATGCCCAAAACACCTACATTTCCACTCTCCAACCTTGATCAACCCAACTGTGTTTTTACACTACTGTGTCCAGGATGCTGGGTAATTCTAAAGATAGCCATCAATAACATTCATTCAATGAATAAGTCTGGGTTGATCCTGTGACACACCTTCTACCCTCAGCTGCTTCTCAACATTGGTCAGTCCTTATGTTGGTGTTCTCATTTTACATGATAGAGTTCCAAACAATTTATAGCCCAAATCATCATCTATCCTGCAATTCTTGAAAGAGACCCTAACTTCAGTAGCACAAGAACAAAAACCAACGAAACAAAAAATACTTAGCTTATGAACCTTTCAGATTTTCTGCTCTCCACCCCAAGACCAAACTTGTAGATAGATACCTACCTGTTGACCACACCCTCCCTCTTCAATGAAAACTGCTTCTCCTTCCACTCCATCTGTGAGGCACCTATGGGTGCTGACATGGGCTTACATAGGACCTCCTGCTCACAGCCAGAATTAGCTAGCATTCACTGACCCATAACTGAGTTCCTAAAATACTCAAGACAAAAGACATGTTGCTTTTCTTCACTATAGCAATAATTTTACTATCAAATAAATCCCATAACCTCATGTTGTAAACATCAAATATGCACAATAAAATTGATTTAAAAAAATAAAGCTGGAAAATTGAAAGTAATGAATGTTCAATTTAAATCTGCAAACAAGCAAATAAATACTCAAGATGGACCAGTGATAACCTTTCTTTAGAATTTTGGATTTGAGGCCAGGAGGTTAGTGTAGCTGTTCTCCCATGGCTGCACCTGTGAAGATAAACTTTTGGGAATTGATGGCAGCTGTGTTTCTCCACCAGGATGAAGAAGCTAGGACCTGGGTGGGTGGGCAGCGGGTGGGGAGGGCTGAGAGTGGAGTGAAACAGACATAAAGAGAAGTCCGGGTTCCAGGTGGTCCTGGGGCCCAGCCACGCTCTTTTTTGTTTGTTTGTTTTAATAGATTTAAATTGGTTTCTGCCAGGTATGGTCAGAGGCCTCGTTACCTGCTTCTCTGAGAATTTCCCCCCTCCTGCCTGTGGCTAATTCCTTCTCCTGCACCTTTGGTTCAGTCCCACCTGACGACCCTTGTTCCATGACTTCCACCACTTCTCTAGAATCTTCAGTCATTTCAGAGACACATATGCTCATCTTCCTGCACAAAAACTAAATAAGCAAAGGCTTTCTTTGATCTCTGTCCCTCCTCAACTTCTGCCCCTTCCCTTCTACTCATTCTCTCTCTCTTTTCTCACCTCCTACTTAATGCCCAATTTGCTGCTGCTATTTTGCTCCATTTCTTTTTTCCATTTTCCTGATGCTGCTCTGTTGACAGGCAGTGCATTGCAGAATACATCCAATTTCTCGTGTTTATGTTGCTTGTCTGCAGCATCTGGCATCAGTAACCACCTCCTCTTTCTCAAAATTCCCACCACCCTTGATGGTTTTCCTGCTGGTTCTTCACCTGATGCAGAAAAGCTTGACCTGCAGAAGCTAATCAGGATCTAAAGCTCTAGATGTTTCCAACCTGCCTCGCATTGCTATAAAAATGCAACTGGCCTGTGTCTCCTCTCCTGGTGCACTGCTAAGGGAGGGCTGACTGATCTAATGAGATCACTGAAGCTAAGGCATTCACAGATGAGTTATTTTGATATTTTAATAATAGCTCTCAAGACTTACCTCGGTGTCTCTCAAACTTGGATTACGGTGGAAAGGAGTGGTAGGAAGCAGGTATAGGATGGAAGATGGAGAGGGTTATGAATATATTGTTGAGTCTAAGAGTTTGAGATATTTAATTTTTGTATTTTCACTTTAATGTTAATCAGTGCTTGATCATGCACTTTAATTTACCATTCCATTAGCACCCAAGTAATTACCAACTTTTAGTGCAATATTTCTTTTCTTTTTATTTATTTATTTTTGAGACGGACTCCAACACTGTCGCCTGCCCTGGAGTGCAGTGGTGCAATCTCGGCTCACTGCAACCTCAGCCTCCCAGGCTCAAGTGATTCTCCTTGCCTCAGCCTCCCAAGTTGCTTCAATTACAGGCACCCGGCACCACACCTGGCTAATTTTTTTTGTATTTTAGTAGAGATGGGGTTTCACTATGTTGGCCAGGCTGGTCACAAGCTCCTGGCCTTGTGATCCACCTGCCTCAGCCTCCCAAAGTGCTGGGATTACAAGTGTGAGCCCCCTGTAATCCCCTGTGCCTGGCCTTCGTGCAATATTTCAAAAGTGGGGTGTAATCGCAAAGATTCAGTGAATTTTTTTCTTCTAACACGAATCTTTGTTCCTCGAATTGGGAAGTACTAACTTAAGGAATAGGCATTGTAGGAATGTGAGTGTTGTCTTTGTATCTGTGAGAGACACAGAAATGTAAGACCTAAGTCCTGCCCTCAAAACCCATAGGCTTATTGGGAGAACAACACAGGAACACTTAAAAAATGAAATTCAAATGTGAAGTAACAATGTCAGGTATGTCACAAAGTACTATGTTATTATGAGATGTGGACACCACTTTCTCCAGGAGATCAGAAGGCTTTCCCTATAGGAGTAATCAGTGGAAGTATTCTTGTTGGGGAAGGGTCTTGGTGGTGGATGCTGGTCTGGAAATTGATCAAGGCCTAAAGTAATAGTTAACGAGTTATATTTCCACAGTGGGGAGAGAGAGAGAGAGGAATTGATTCTAGGCATGAAGAAAGCCCAAGAGCCCAGAAAGTCTTGAGCTTGGGAATAGAAATCAGACTGGACCAAGTGGAGGGTTATAGTAGACAATGCTTATTTAACAAAATATTTTGTTTACAAATTTATTATTTGATGTTTTAAAAATGTATCAAGAAAACATTATGGGCAAAATCAGATCACCGTTGGACTTCCTTACATTTATGTTATTTTTTTTCCTTTTTCCAATTGATACACATATTTGTACATATTAATGGAGTACATGTGCTATTTTGTTACATGTATGGAATGTGGCATGATCAAGTCAGGGTAGTAAGTATAGACATCACATCAAGATTTATCATTTTTATATTTTGGGAACATTTCAAATCCTCTCTTCAAGCTATTTTGAAATATATAACACATTGTTATTGACTATTATATATATAGTGTCCCCACAGTGACTATAAATTAGAATTTATTCCTATCTAACTGTACGCACCCATCAACTAAGCTCTCTTAACCCTCCTCCTTACCAGCACACCTTCCCAGCATCTCGTATCCATCAATCTCTTCTCTACCTCCGTAAGATCAATTTTTTTGAGCTTCCCTATGTGAGTGAGAACATGCAATATTTGTCTTTCTCTGACAGGCTTATTTCACTTAATATAATGACCTCCAGTTTCATCCATGTTGCTACAAATGACATGATTTCGTTCCTTTTTTATGGCCAAATAGTATTCTATTTGTGTATTTATATCACATTTTTAACCTGTTTGTCCACTGATGGACACTTAGGTGGATTCCATATCTTTGCCATAGTGAATAGTGCTGTAGTAAACTGACAGCACAGGTGTGCCTGTGATGTACTGAATTCCTTTCCTTTAAATAAATCCCCCATAGTGGGATCGCTGGGTCACACGGTAGCTCTATTTTTAGTTTTTTGAGAAATCTTCATACTGTTTTCCATAATCGCTGTACTAATTTACATTCTCACCAGCAGATCCTTGCCAGCATCTGTTATTATTATTATTCATTTGTCTTTTTAATAGTAGCCATTCTAGCGGGGGTAAGACAATGTCTCATTGTGGATTTTCATTTGCATTTCCCTGATGATTAGTGATGTTGAGCGTTTTTTATATACTTGTCGACCATTTGTGTGTCTTCTTTTGAAAAATTTCTAATCACGGCCTTGCTCACTTTTTAATGGGATTACATGGTTTTGTTTTTTTTAACTGTTCAGTTGTTTGAGTTCCTTGTACATTCTGGATATTAGTCCCTTGTTGCATTAATAGTTTGCCAATATTTTCTCCAATTCGCCAGGCTGTCTCTTCAGCCTGTTGATTGATTCCTTTGCCGTACAGAAGCGATTTGGTTCAATATAGTCCCATTTGTCTGGTGTCGTTTGTGTTGTCTGTGCTTTTGATGCTGTTTTATCTTTACGGAAGATAGAGGTGAGACATTATAATCATATCAGTGTTAAGGACCTTTAAATGTTGAATGCAGATCTTTAGCAGAAGATAAAGCTGGGGCCATATTTTGGAAGACTTGAATTCCACGTGAAGCAGTTGGACTTTGCATATCTTGATGTGCAAAGAGCTTCAAGGACAATGACGACCTCAACTTCTCTGGGTCTCTGGAGCAAAATATTTCTGATTTCACATACCTAGTCTAACACTGGATTTCATATATTTTGCTGCATAGTGTACATTTTAAAAACGATGCATGTGAGAGGTTTTGGTGGTAGAAATTATGCCTCTTTGTTTCACTACTGTTGTTAACTGATATTAGTTGGAAGAGATAATGTCCCCTTAGGTGCAAATCCTCCGTTGTAGAATAAACCCTAAAATAACTGGTGATGTTTATTGCTTCTATTAGCGTGATAGTCTTAAGGGAATCTTGATGCCGTTTATACAACTTTTTTATTCCTCCATGTTACCAAAACACTGTGTGGCCATTATGAGTTGTTACATTGTGCTTAGGATAGTGAAACTCTGACAGCAGGGTGTCCTGAGCCACACGTATCTGTGAAATGCGTGAATACAGGAATAATGAAGAAGGATTCATGATAGGTAGAGATATCCCAAGATTGGCATTGAGAGGGAGGTTGAAGTAGATGATTGCTCAGCTCTCTTCCAGTTCTAAGAATTTTCCTTGCATTAGGAAGGCAGGGAAGAGGCCATTCAATTCTCTAACGGCAGTCTCTCAAAAGAGACCCGCTTTATCCCCTTTTCCTAGAGTTTTCTTTAAAAGATCCCATCACCCTTCTTAGTAGTATATTTCAGTTTCCCCAAGCTTCAGAGAAAAAAAATTTTTAATGGCCAACTCGACTCCCTCAAACCACAGTTTGAGCCCATCTTATCTGCCTGGTTCTTCAATGACAACAGTTCATCACAGGGTCATGGTAAAACTATGATGCTTTTCCACTTACAGTGGGGTCACCTCATGATAAACTCATCACAAGTTGAAAATATTCTACGTAGAAAATGCATTTAGTACATCTAACCTACTGAATATCATAGCTTAGCCTGGCCTACCTTAAACATATCCAGAACACTTCCATTAGCCCACAGTTGGGCAAAGTCATCTAACACAAAGCCTATTTTGGAAGAAAGTGTTGAATATCTCATATAATTTATTGAATACAGCACATTGTAGAACACAGTATTGGTCATTTACCCTGATGATTGCATGGCTGACTGGGAGCTGTGCTTGCCGCCACTGCCCAGCGTCAAGAGAGGTTACCATGCCACATATCGCTAGCCTGGGAAAAGATCAAAAGTCAAACTTTAAAGTGCAATTTCTACTGAATGCATATTGTTTTTGCAACATTGCAGAGGCAAAAAAAAAAAAAAAATGTAAGTCAGAACTGTCTATATTGCTAAAGCCAGCCTAGGATTAAAATCCACAGAAGGACTTGATGGGGAGGAAAGGGAGGCATTTACAGAAAAGCCATTCAAGGTGATGTGGCTCTGCAGGGGACTGAGGACCCCCAGGGATTCATTAAGAAAGAGTAATCACATCGAGCACTGCTGATTGCCATGCTGGCGTCACTGCCCAGAGCATGGCCTGAATGAAGGTGGATTGCTTCAATTATCTGGGCATCTTGACGAATGGGCACTGCACACACTCTGGGGGAGACAGGAAGAAACAAGCCAGAGATTAATCACTTATGACATCAATGAACGGAGAGTGTTTAGAGCCTGTAGTAGCCAGAGGGACAACAGGTTCAGAAAAGCAGAGAGGAACCTAGAGTAATCAGGCCACCATTAGAAAAAAAAAAGTGGGCAAATACAACACCGAGACCCATCTTCATTAGGCTGATTTGCAGAAGGGTAGTGACAATTGAAGTAGCCAGGTAGGAATGAACCATGGAGTTCAGTTCTGGGAAGTACCCAGGCTAGAGTATGGTCGTGGTCTGGGGGCCCTAAAGGTAACCCCAAACCAGAGAAAAAGGGTCCCAGAGGCAAAAAGAGGGAGATACCAAAAATGGGGTAAGAACAGGAAATGAGAATGAATCCAAGCAACCTCCTGAGGGCTTCTAGAAGATACAGTAGGGTGCGATCCCCAGCCTTTCCCAGAATTTCAACAACTACTCATTAGTGGGATCTTACTTCTTCTCTGCCCCCAAATTAGCAGGGGATGGAAGGAAAGGAAGGAGGGAAGGAAGGGAGGGAGGAAGGGAGGGAGGGAGGAAGGGAGGGCCTTAAGAAAGGGCTATATGAGAAGACTCACAGAATTTCCTTTAAAAACTGTTTGTCTTAACAGAAATGTACCTGGCTGTTGAGTCCCATAAAGTGTTATGAAAACTAGCATAGCCTCACTTGGGACTGAAAGAAAATAAACCACAGGCAGGATGTTAAATGAACATAGAAAACCCAACACAAGCAATCCTAGCTGTTTGGGCTGCTGAATCCTGCAACCTTCACTATGATTTGGAGACAGTGGGACAGAGGTATGCTCATTTCTCAGGTTGCTGATTGTCAAGAAATGATTCTGTGAACTTCACCCAGCAGATTTTGTTCAGAATAACAATAAAAACAATTGAGAAATGGAAGGGGAACATGATTCAGAAAATAATGGTTAGATGACCTCACAGGAATGCATACCAATGGCTCACATGCAGAGAGGTGGCACTCAGTTTTGACTCTAAGCTACCTAGCAGCATAAGCAATGAGGGAAGTAGTTGCTAGAGCCTTCCACAGGACTGAAACAAACCCCTTGTTCAGAGGAAGCACAGCATTTTCAGATGCTGAAACCTTGGATATTTTTTTCTGGGCCAGTCTCCTCAAGGGTCAGGAAATTTCATGTTTATGTCTTTGGACTGCATGCTGGTGATATCAGACCCATGGCAGCAGCAATGGCAGCATTCCCAGAGGGAAAGGAACCCAAAGGTATTGCCGATACCCCGCAGGACAGAAAGGGCTTTTATGGCTGCTACTGTTACTGCCACTTCCTCAGAACCAAACCCCAGGATCAGAGTAGCGGTGGGTTTCAAAATGTCACCTAGGTGGTGCCACTGTGGGAGATCTTATCCCCGACACATAGCTCCAGCCACCCCATGGCCCAAGTCAACCCAACACCCTGGGTCAGGAAGGATCTGGTCACCTGGCAGAAAGCCCTGAACGAAGCAAAGAACAACCCAGGGAAGAAAAGAACAAAACACCCCTGAGATATTAGAGGTGTCTGCTTAAGGAAAGCAGCCACTAAGGGTCGTAGCAAAACAAAGCAGTAAGAGGAAAGGACCTGGCAGCTCCTTTCTGGAAGGATGCCAGATTTATTTGCCTCCTTTGCTTCTGCCTTTGAGTAGAGAAATGCAATCCCTCAGTGGCTGATTAGCTGGTGAGATGATGACCATTTTTCAGGGCTGCTGGACAGGGTTCTACAAATGTTAGAGTTCAGATTCTGACTCTGACTCAGTTAACCCAGGCTGAACGTTTTACACACCCAGGACTGTCCTGGGTGGGCCATGTGCACCAGGTTAGTAAGACAAAAACGGGCAGTTGTATTATGCTCATTTTAAAGTTAGGAAACAGGCTGAACGAGAGAGGGGCCTAGGAAAACCACTGTCATTAACTGTTATGTTGCCATGGCTCCTACTCCTGCTGCTGCCATATGGACCCTCTTCATTTCCCTGGTTGGTGGAGACAAATTTGGCTGTGGCTGCCTTTAACAGCCCCCTTGTAATGCAAAGGAAAAAAGACTCGACCAGGTGTAAACACACCTTTCTAAACAAATATGTAAAACTGGATCACTAGATCATGAAAGTAGCCTTAAGTTACTGTACCACATTAAGTAACTGTCTCTCCTCTCTTTGCTTCCCGCCTTCCTTCCAGCCGAAGTGTCTGTGAAGTATTTACGATAGATACAGTGTCCGTGACCAGGCCATGAGGGGTTCGAAGCTGAGAATTACACAGTCCTTACACGCAAGAGCTCAAACTCTGTTGAGGAGACAGAGAAGATGTTGGGTGATTTCCACACACCTATGTGAAGTGGCACAGGAAGCTGTAGGGTCAAAGAGAAATCTAGCTGACTGATGAGAGACATGGCCTGGGGAAGGAAAGGATGTGGAAGTAACCAGAGGCCAGGGTGGAAGGCCCAAGAGTTTTAGCAGGTTCCCAATAAGGGGAGATTTTGTCTAGAGGCATTTTCGGTTGATGCAATTGGGTGTGTAGGTGAGGAGCAAGGCAGTATACTACCGTCATTTAGTGGAAAGAGGCCGGAGATATTGCTAAACATCTTACAATGCACAGGACTGCCACCAACAACAAAGGATTATCCAGTTGTGATGTCCAAGCTGGATAATTGAGAACCCCTGCGCTGGACTCAGGAGGAGTCCCTGAAGGTTCCAGGCAGGGCAGTGAAACAGATGTGTTTTCAGATGTCTTGTCAATATTGGAGAAACTAGGCAAGTGCTGTTTCTTTCAAGTCGAATTTGTCTAAGGGATGGCTTTTGGAGCCAGTGAGCCGAGGGTCTGGAGGTGAGAATTCCACCCGAAGGAGCATGGTGCCATGGCACGTCCTGAACCAGGTATCAGGAGCCCTGGCTTGACTTCAGCTCCTCCAGCCATAGGCTGAGTAATCATGGCAAGCGTGACAGCTCCCAGAGCCCCCCTTTCCTCACCTACAAAATAAAGCACAAAGAACATACACCGCTCTGGCCTTATTCCTGTGTTACTGTGCTATCAAATACGATCGCATGTATGAAAGAGCTTATTCCTGTGCCACTGTGCTATCAAATACGATCATATGTATGAAAGGGCCTATTCCTGTGCTACTGTGCTATCAAATACGATCGCATGTATGAAAGGGCCTATTCCTGTGCCACTGTGCTATCAAATACGATCGTATGTATGAAAGGGCCTATTCCTGTGTTACTGTGCTATCAAATACGATCGCATGTATGAAAGGGCCTATTCCTGTGTTACTGTGCTATCAAATACGATCGCATGTATGAAAGGGCCTATTCCTGTGTTACTGTGCTATCAAATACGATCGCATGTATGAAAGGGCCTATTCCTGTGTTACTGTGCTATCAAATACGATCGCATGTATGAAAGGGCCTATTCCTGTGCTACTGTGCTATCAAATACGATCGCATGTATGAAAGGGCCTATTCCTGTGCTACTGTGCTATCAAATACGATCGCATGTATGAAAGGGCCTATTCCTGTGCCACTGTGCTATCAAATACGATCGCATGTATGAAAGGGCCTATTCCTGTGTTACTGTGCTATCAAATACGATCGCATGTATGAAAGGGCCTATTCCTGTGCCACTGTGCTATCAAATACGATCGCATGTATGAAAGGGCCTATTCCTGTGTTACTGTGCTATCAAATACGATCGTATGTATGAAAGGGCCTATTCCTGTGCCACTGTGCTATCAAATACGATCGCATGTATGAAAGGGCCTATTCCTGTGTTACTGTGCTATCAAATACGATCGCATGTATGAAAGGGCCTATTCCTGTGCCACTGTGCTATCAAATACGATCGCATGTATGAAAGGGCCTATTCCTGTGTTACTGTGCTATCAAATACGATCGCATGTATGAAAGGGCCTATTCCTGTGTTACTGTGCTATCAAATACGATCGCATGTATGAAAGGGCCTATTCCTGTGTTACTGTGCTATCAAATACGATCGCATGTATGAAAGGGCCTATTCCTGTGTTACTGTGCTATCAAATACGATCGCATGTATGAAAGGGCCTATTCCTGTGTTACTGTGTTATCAAATACGATCGTATGTATGAAAGGGCTTATTCCTGTGTTACTGTGCTATCAAATACGATCGTATGTATGAAAGGGCTTATTCCTGTGTTACTGTGCTATCAAATACGATCGTATGTATGAAAGGGCCTATTCCTGTGCCACTGTGCTATCAAATACGATCGCATGTATGAAAGGGCTTTGCAGAGTGAGATAATGTAGATGAAGGATATCACTGTATTATAAAGAGCATCTTTTTAACAATTATACAAGGAATATAGGCTAATTATAGTAAAGTAGAAAATACAGTTAAACAAAAAGAAGACAGTAAAACTCACCCATCAGCCCTCCCTTTACCATCCAGCAGTAACACTGTTAACATGTCACTGTGTGTTCTTAGCTTCCCAGGCTTGTGTGTGTGTATGTGTGTGTGTAATTTTTCATTTAAAAATGAGATTATGCTTTCCCCACAAATAGGCATTACAAATAGCATATGTCACATCAGTAAAATGTTTCTACGCTATTATTTTGACAAAGAATGTCCTCTGCTGTTAAATTGTTGCATCATTTTCAAAGGCTCCACATTGACAAACATTGCTGGGAGTTACATCTCCTTATGGGCTTTAATTCAATTAAAGTGAAAGATGTGGAGCTGAGAAATGCCTTACAGTGGGGCACACAGCACCAGCCAGCACCCAGACCTGGCCCTGTGCCCTCACTGTTGCTGGTGGGAACTATAGGAGTAAAGAGAATTTTTCCTCCCCTCTGAGGGTTTAATCTACTGAAATGAACAGACAATAGACAGATTAACAGGGAAAAAAGCATACACATTTACCAATGTGCAGAAGCACAGAAGCTGTACAAAATATGAGTCTCAAGGAAGGGTCAGATGGTTGAGGCTTAGCTACCCTCTTCACAGGGAAGAAGGAAGAAAGAGGATATTGGCAATTTTGAGAAATAGTAAATGATTTGCAAGGGAATTGAATGAGCCCGAAGAACAGACAATGGTCAGGGACAGTACTCCTCTGAGCTCCGAGGTGGTGGGAAGGTAAGGGGCAGAATAGCACTGTGAACAGAGGTTATCCTGTTATGCAGATAAAGTCTCCCAGGAGTTTCCCCCAGAAGAACAGATGAGTAGTCTATTTGGGTGTGATGACTTTTCTCTTTTTGTCACTCTTTTCTGGTTATTTGATGAGATTTCTAGGGAGGGCATCTTAAGACAATTGCATTTCTTTTGGAAGAAGATTTTCTCAGTCAGATAAGGGAATCTTCAGAGATGGTCCCTCATTATGCCTGGGGAAGGAAGGTTAGAAAATCCTTGGTTCTGAGGCTTGAGTCTAAGGCCTTTTGATTTCCTTCTGTTCAAAGCACTCAGTAGGCCAAAGCACCACAGTTTGGGGTATTGTTTTCTGAGCCCCACTAGAATATTTGTCCGGGATCCTAGAGCATTAGGCAAACAAGGAGTAATAAATTCTTGCGATTTCCCCCTCTGAAGATTCAAGTCGACTGAAATAAACTGACAATAGGCAGATTAACCGGAATAAAAAAAGGCATACAAATTTATTAACTGACGTAAGCACAGGAGCCATACAAAGTATGAGACTCAAGGAAGGGTTAGATGTTGTGCTTGTACCTTCATCTTGGTAATTTTGCTTCCTGTTTAAGAACTGGGGGAAAGGTGGGCAGGTGGCTCACCTGGAGAGGCACCTGATACATTTCAGAGGCCCCGGATGGAGGGACGGGGACAAGGGTTGAAAATATACTTGTCAGGTACCATGTTCACTTCTTGGGCAATAAGATCATTAAAAGCCTAAACCTCAGCACTGCACAGTATACCCATGTAACATGTACCCTGGAATCTAAAATTAAACATAAATAAATAATGGAAAAAGCCCCACAATTGTCCGCTAAAAACCATCTCAGCGGCCCCAGCTGAGGCCACTTCAAAGCTCAGCCAGCTGAGAATGGTGTGCCTATTACTAGCTTTACTTCAGTTAACCCAATGACTTAGAAGCTCCAACAACATAGTGACGAGGCGTCCTTCATCTGGGAAGGGGCTGAGCTGACCCCGCAATGGGGGGAGTTGACCCTGCTTCACCCACACTCTCTGGGACACTTTCCCTTGTGGCTGGTGGCAGAGGGCTGGACGATGGAGGCCCCCGCGGGTGGCCGTGGCCTCATGTTAGGACTCAAGAAACTTGCAGTTCACCTGTCCCAGAGGCAAATTCAAAATGTGACAGGCGCTCCGTTGCAGTACGATGGGGCCAGCAAAACAAAACGAAACAAAACCAGAAAACAGCAACCACCAAATGTCCAAAACGAAATGGGGCCTGTTATCAAGGGTACATCGATCTCCTGTTATATTAGTCTCGCATTTTAAATGATAACCGTTTAGACTATGCAACCACATCTAAAATTCTTCTGAATTCTTATTTTAGTACTAAGAGAGGCAAGGAAGGCACACAGTTTTACAGAGAGTAAAACTATTACTGTGTTTAAAATTAGCGTTTGCATATGAAAAAGGAAATAGTTGCAGCAGCTCTGTAAGGTAAGATGGTGGGGAAATTTTTTTCCTCTTTTTTTCTAAATGTTCTGTAATGTGGTTATGATTGCACAGTGACTGTGTGTGTGTGTGTGTGTGTGTGTGTGTGAATGTGTAAGGAGTTAAGTTCTGGGTCCTCTCTTTGCACATCCACACCCTGTGGGCTCTGTACTTACCTTCTTCAGGCTGGGCACCTACTCCAGATCCGAATCCTGCCCTCCCACAAGCAAGGCATCCCAGGGAAGAAAAGCAGAAAACCAGACAGGGAGGAAGAGGGAGGTGACATAGGGATATGAGACAAGGAGGGGGCAGAGAAAGAACAGAGGTGGAGTCCCAGGGGAGGGGAGCAGCTGGGCCTCGCCAGGGTTGCCACTCAGTGAGGAGGTGATGGGGAAGTCCCAGCAAGGGGCGCTGTGTCCCCAAGAAGCCTGCTTATGCCATCCTCAGAGATCATACCTGGGCTGACAGCCCCAAGACCGAAACTTTTCTCCCTGTAGAGATAGCTAGGAGGCCAATGCAGAAGTGAATCCCAGCTGGGTTCCGTAATTCCTACTGGGTAAACCACTCCAGTTTCACAGACACAGCTGGGACCACCCCAGGCTACCCCTGATTTCCTGAGGCCCCTGTGCCCCCCACCTGGATCCAGACCAAGCAGGAAGGGCAGGGAATCTTCTGAAGGCCAAGGTCTGCATGGTGGGGGCTCTTGGCTGAATCTAGAATCTTCCTGTTCATGTGAACACAACTGCTTGGGAGGCCCAGGTGGCCACACCAGCTCTGAGAGGCCCCTCTCTGCAGGCGGTCCCTGAGGTGGGCAAGGTGGATAGGGAAGGCATTTTCCCCTTTGACTCCAGCTTGGGTCGGCATTTCTGGAAGGGGTGTGTGTGTGTGTGTGTGTGTGTGTGTGTGTGTGTGTCTGTGTGGGTGTGTTCTGGGGGTCCCAGTCTCCAGGTCCCTCCCCAGAGTCCAGCCCCATCAGGCAGTGATGAGATTGGCTCTGGGGTGCTGGGTGGGGTGTGGGGCCCTGGAGCCTCCACCCTTCTCCCTCCCTCCCTCCCACTCAGCCTCCCTGCAGCTCCCACACCTATCCTCCCGTCTCGGCTCCCCTCCAGCCGTGGTAGCTCACTGATGATCAGCTTCTGTGCTGATGTGCTGATGTTCACATACTTGGACTCTCCTCCTCTGAGTGTGTCTGTGTCTTCCTCACTGTGAGCTTTGTCCCCACTCTGTCCCCACTCAGGTTCCTCTAGGAACCCAGGGGCGCCCAGTCAGAGTGAGCAAGGCCCACCTCCCACCCCCCTCTGCAGGGCCAGGCCCTGTCCCTGCTCCTACCCAGCCTTTCCTCCCCAGGACTCACTTCATGAAGTGCCCAAACGTCATGCTGGGCTTCCAGCAGGTCACAGAAGGACACCAAGGAGGAGGCCGCCACATGCCGTGCTCACTGCAGAGGAACAGGTGAGGGCTGCCCTCACAGCCGCTGTACTCTGCCCTTGTCTTCTTCAGGCCAGCACCAGGCCTGGGCACCTACCCCAGATCAAATCCTGCTGTCCCTGGAACAAGGTCTCCCAGGGCTTCCAGAAAGCAGAAAATAAGGCAGGGAAGGAAGCAGGAGGCGAGGTAGGGACATGGGACAAGGAGGGGGCGGGGAAAGAACAGAAAATGATTTTGCATCTGTGGAAAGAAAGATGCTGCCTGGCCAGTGACATGGTGTGGACAGGCACAGGTGTGGTTGCCAAGCCCTGCTCCCCCAGGGGTTTAGCAGAAACGAGGCAGTGCAAGCGGGGAGAGAGAAAAACACCCTCCACTTCCATGTGTCCCGGGCTTGAACCCCACACCAGCTTGAATGGCACAGCCACTGGGGAAGAGGTTCAGAATGGGAGCATCCCGGGCTACACAGCGGGCCTGGTGCTCCAGGAATCCAGGCCTGGGTTTTGGGGTACAGGCGGTATGTTTTCTTACCACAAACCAGAACCACGTTCCCTCTGGAAAAGGTCGGCTCCACAGCTGTTTAAAAATCCACTGGGACTCAGAGATAAACAATCCGAGTCAGGCTGTGCTAACAGCCCCATTTTGGAGCCGAGCAGGAGGTGCGACCACGTGGGCCGCCGCTCCGTCCTCAGGCCCATCCATCACTGCTCGGCCACAATCCCGGGGCCCACCAGCCTCTCTAACCATGCTGTTTCCATTAGAGCATGATGGTGAAACTTCCAGAAGAGAGAGGGTGGCAAAGAACACGCACGTGGGCCAGGAGAGCCGCCCAGCCCGCACCAGGGCAGAAGGCCTTCAAGGGTTCCCCTTGCCCCTCATGGGCGGGGCAGGGCTGGTTTTCCTCCAGATGGTCCCTGGGAGATGCAGGAACATTCCCTAACCCTGGAGGGGTAGGAGGGAGAGCTCACCTAGATGGCTCCTGTCCCAGCCTGACTCTCACTGGGCTTAACACATTTTCCCCTGAAGTCATGTGCATGCAGCCAAAACACTGCCAACAGGGAAATGCTTTTTATGTTAATCTCTCACAGCCAAAGTGGGTTTGCTCAGCATGGTGACGGAGTGCGGTGTTTGCCGTGGCCCAGGACAGCTGGGGGTGTGGGGCGAGCGGGGGTGGAGGGGCTTGGACAGGGGAGCATTTGAGGAGCCCCAGAGACAGCAGGAAAGTGTCCCTGCAGGGGCCCACAGAGATGGGGAGCCCCCAGCTGCTGCAGCCTCTTTAGGTTGGCTAAAGAGAGATTATGCACCTGTTTAATCTGGAGAGAAAGGCTGCCTGCAAGTTATGGCTGTTTTGCTCTAACATACCCCATTAAATATTCCTGGAATCCAAATGCAGAAGGAACAAAATAAACCACTTTGAAGTTCCAGGCTAGGGCTGATCTGATGGGGGTGGGGTTCGCCTCCAGTTGGACGATCTGGGCAGTGAGGTCTCTGGGTGGGGCCGGCCCCTGCTCTCTAATTGGGTGTGTCTGGGCACTGGTTTGTCCTGGCATCTTCAGGAAGTGGGGGGAGAGAAGGATGGCCTCCTGGGTGCAGCTGCCACCTACCTTGGAGGAGGGAAGGAAGAGCCTCTGGCCAGGGCGTGGTGGGTGGGTTGACTTCCTGAGAGCTCAGGCCACCCCCATCTGCAGTGAGGCAGGTGCTGTCATGGCACTGAATGCTGCAGATGCATAAACTCATTTCAACCTCGCAACAAACCCACAAAGTGGGTATCCTGATCGCCCCCATGTTACAGACGAGAAGACCAAGGCACAGAGAAATAAAGTGGCTTCCCCAAGGCACACAGCAAGCAAGCAACAGGGCCAG